CTGCATATGTGCACTCACGCCATGCACACTGCATACATGCACACACAAGCTCACTATACATGCACACACGAGCTCACTGTATGCACACGAGCTCACTGCATACATGCATTCATGCTGTACATGCACACACTGCATATATGCACATGCACTCACTGTATGCATGCACACATGCCATACACACACACTGCATGCATGTGCCATCACTGCACACACGGGTACACGTGCATGTACACACATCTGCACAGTACGGGCACGTACTCCCTGCACAAAGGCACACACTGTACACATGCCATACATACACACACACACACACACACACACACACACACACACACGTGCATACTTCAGTGCCCTCTAGTCACTGATGGGGACAGGACGTCCCTGTGTCCCAGGCGGGTTGGGAGTTGAGGCAGCTACAGAAGACGGGGAGGAAAGGTGGACTCCAGGCGGGACCTCCCTGACACCTCCTAAGCCTGCAGCTCCCCCCATCCCACTGCCTGTGGGGGCTCTCCTGCAAATGGGGCGCCACAGGGTTGGGGGGAGTCAAAAGTCAGCCGGGCGGCCACCAGGATCCCACAGCCCCTTCCTGTCAGGGGCCTCAGGGGCAGCACGCCCCACTTCCCCCCAGCCTTCGCCCCACTTCCCCACTTCTGCCCTACCCTTTGACCCCGACCCTGGGATCGTCTGTCTAGGAAGGTCTGCATTCTCTACCTTAAATGGAAACGGCATTAACGATTCCTTTCTGAGGCTCCTGGCCGCCTCCTCGTGCCAAGCATCTCATCCGTGTTTGTTTTAGACTTCACTCCGTGACGTTCACTGCTCTCTGGTCCTTGGGAACGGCTCTCATTTTCTCGGATGGCGCCAGGGCTGTGCGTTGCCTGGCTGTCCCTGGGTGGTGTTTTGGGGGCTGAAGTACATCTGGCTTGTGCGTTTCTCTCAGAAGTGTGCTAAACGGCCACACAACAGATGGTCCGAGGTCCAGGGTGAGGGGGTCATTCCCCTACAGGAGCCCAGAGCTCCTGGGGAGCCCCCTGAAATCGCAGAAGCCCAGCACCACCCCGTGACTAAAACATCTGCGTGTACCCTGGGAGGCGGTAAATCACAGAACAGCCGAATCCTGCCCCAGTCCCGAGGCTGAACCCACGAGGGCCCTGTTCGGGGGACCCGTCACCAGCATCGTGTCTCCGAGACCCAGCGAGGCATGGCCCAGACCCCACCCCAGAGGAGGTTCCCATGGACACAGCTCCCTTGACAGAGCAGAGGGCACCCCAGACTTGGCCAGGTCAGGGCCTGCCAGGCACGGGTCAGCATGGCTGCACCACAGCAGTTGGGGAGGGCGGCGTCAGGGACACATCCCAGGCCGATCTGGCTTCTGTGTCCCCTAGCCCCTCTAGCTTCTGGCCCCTCTAGCTCCTGGGGCTTCAAAATGGGGTCCGCCTGGGCAGCCTCAGAAGCAGGCTCGAGGGAGAGGCCCCACAGGTGGCGGCCAACAGCGATGGGGGCGCATGGGGAGGGGCTGGGGCGGGAGGACAGAGGGTGGGGCGGGAAGGGCCTGGCCCAGCGGGGGGTCCGGGCAGTGATGCGGCTGGCAGAGCAGCGGGTCATAGGAAGGAGCCTGTCCCCAGGACAGCGACCCAGGGTCTGCCTGTCACAGCAGAGGCAGAAAGAACAGAGACCAGGGGCCCAGGGGAGTGGAAGCGCTCTGGGGGCAGCGACCCCGAGGCAGGTCGCGTCCACGTGTGAATGCTGCGATTTTATGGGATGGGCGCGTGTGCCCTTATGGACAGAGGTTTCAATGGGAAACCGGAACTGGGTCAAGTCCAGTCCTCTGCGTCCCACAGAAATTCCGCCTTCCAGAACCTTCCAGATGGAAGGGGCGGGTCCCTGCCTAGTAGTGTGGCTGCCTCCAGCCGGGACAGGTGACTCTAGGGCAGCCAGTCTCCCTCAGGCACCGGCCGGTGCCCCCCACCCCCGGCAGCGGCGCCTGTGTCAATCTCGGACCGAGAGGGCACGAGGAGGCGCGGGGGCCCCGCCCTGCCAGTCACCCTCCTCTCCACCG